TGTAAACCTTTCCAGACACTAGAGGTAACAAGTCATTCCATAATCTGCTGCAGAATACAACTGCTGCATTCTGCGTTTTTGAACGCGGAGCTTAAGCTACAATAAGAATATTACCATTAACTGGCCACTGGAACTGGACGAAGAAATGAAAACACTATATGTAGTGTAATTTTTGGCTGAGTACTATCCCTTAGTAGGTATTAATATGAGGTTGTCATAGTATGTCTCTTCACCTACTAATACATTTGCTTTTTGGCATTTGACTTTGTTGACTGGAGTTAGTTGAGTTTTTGGTACCCAAGAACTGTGATTGAATACTGAGTGGTTGTGCGTAGTTACTAACCGATACATCACATGTGTGAGTGGAGAGTTCAGCTGTTTCATGAACCTTGATGTACCCATGATTGATTACTCACATCATCAGTGAAACAACAGTGCATATTTCGAGCCTAGGTTAACCTTGCCATTGTAGGGACTGCTGGTAGCTCAGATTGCTTAGTGGGTGGCTGAATTCTTTAATAAGCCTGACAATTTCGTTGCGAGTGTTTTATTACCGATGGAAGTTGCATCGTGTGAAAGTTACTCTGCAGTAGTGCGATGCATCACTGTTTGTGCTGTATAGTGTAAATGTGCTTATGCACTTCTTTCTAATGGGGTCTGGTTTTTCCTTACTGCTGTTTTTTGGGTGACCAGTCCTATTGCTCAGCTCGCCAACTGGTGTCCATCAGGCCCTTGAGTTGATTACTCCGACTTACACTCCTCAACCTCTGTACGTTCGTCCAGAGGTTTCTTCCGTTGAATTTATCTGGTTCAATCGCTTTTTTTGCTGGCGCGGTGGTTGACTGGATGTATTTCAGCTGTATGCTCCCAAATTCTTCACCGGTAACCATACAAGGTAACATCCAAAAGGTAGACTGGTGGGAGCCACGGTACAAGCGCAAGACATAGTTTCTAGTAGGCTAAATTTGGTGTGAAATTAGAAAACAGATATGCCATTATTGTCAGGTAACCTATGGTTGGGTTTTTTCCATTTTGGTGTTGCTTCATACACTATGGTCACCCTAGCTCAAATGATTCCATTTTCGTCCGCAAATATGATACTGTCCGCAAGGTAACACGCGCGGAATATATTGCACTGTCTCTCCAGTGATGGATGCTCTCTTAAGGTGGGATATAAATATGGATCACCCCTGCGTCTTCATTTAAACTTGGATGCTTTCATGAGCAGCTGGCAGAGCGTGATGCACTTGATCATCTCAACTTTCGTGTATGCTCAACAACTCAGTTCACGAGACATATTAGTGAATCAATAGGCTGAATGCACGTAATCAGAGCCCTTCACTTTGTAGAGGAGCATAACCCAAATTAGACCCAAAAACAAAAGCGGTTGTGCAGTAATGTTATAACACTACAAGATGGGAACTCAATAAGTGACGAGTTCTTTTGTGCCGCTTTAGCTAACTACTCAACTTCAGTAGATATGATGCATAGTACAAACGTGACAAATATTCAGCAGTACCACTTCTACTAATCAGGCTAACTCGATCCCTGTATCTAAAAATTGGTGGCGTGCCCAGACATTGTGGTAATCTCAGATTTATCGAGCATCTTTCGTGGAAGTTGACTCAAAAGTCCGAGCGAAGCACAAACGAGATCCCCAGTGTTATTTTTGTCGATCTACTTTGTTTTGGAGCCCTTCCAGAAATTCTATTTCTTTAAAGAACAAAACAATATTGCTGTCTTACAAGTCAGCAACGCTAAACGATTTGATTATGAAAATCTTGGAGTAAATATGCTGGATATAAAGTCAGTGGGAATCGAATCATCATAGTGCACCTACCAACACATTACAAGATGCTTTCACAGTACACTAAGTAGTCTCTTCCTATGTATAAGACTTGTAAAAACTAAATCTTATCGTTACCGAACAATCAGCTAATGGTGACGTTGGTGCTTTCAGGGACCACTCAACTGTTCAACTCTTCCCGGTTTTTTAGCTCACCACTCGAAATCCTTATGGTCAGTTAAACCTAAAATTCTACTGAAACGTGGTGTCTTACGTCAGAATTCTTAGTGAAATTACAAGTGGAAAGGTTGAAACAAATCAGCGATGCGATCTGAACTTCACTGTATATTGTATTCTGATTATACCGAGTGGACTCAAAAGACCTGATTCATGCCACTTCATTAGGCTACCAGTTTTGCCTGTTACGCGAGTCTTGACTGTGCTAGTGCTTACCGCGCTTTGAAGAGCATTCAGCGTTTTTTGTCCTTCCCTCGGTTGTTGTTGTGTTTCCCTACCGAACATTCTTACATACGTTGAGATTCATCTTGTCCAACTGTAACTGTTGGTAGCATGACTTTGAATGAGACGCTTTTCTATTTTATATGATATTGTCCTTTAACCCTTCCACATTCATCTCTTGAATTTACTTTTTACGTCTGTGATCATGCTCCTAGAAATAAACGATACTGTGACCGAGTAGAACATGGGATAATTTTGTCCCATCCGCAAGGATTCCTGTTCATGTTTTTGGCCGCGACCTTTTTCGTTTTTGCCTTCTTTACAACTTGGGAGATACAACAATGGCAGGTCAACCACCACTGAACGGGAAGAGATTAGTATTCAGGAGTGTGTACACACTGCAGATGTTTTCATGTGAACACTTTTTGAGTTTACTTCCTGAAGTAAGCTGTAGAATGACTCGCGTTCTACTAAATACATGATCTCACTGTGAACTTCCCTGAAATTTGTGTCAAGCTGAGTTTGGTTGTATGAAATTCATTAAACTTATATAGGTGAGCTATTGTCAGGTGTTGTTTGGACTACAAGTAATGTCTTCAAGCCTGGTACGCCCTTAGTACAAAACGTTTTCCCAATTCATCTCCCATTCTGAAATTCGCTCTACGCACAGCTCATGTTTGGCTGCATTTGGCTTAAGTTATCTTTGATACATTCTGCTTTCATGCTGAGGACTTAATATGTAAGAGTATGTAGGAGTATCATTGAGTTCATTCTGATACAACTGGTTTGTACCTTGGCGTGATCCGGTATCAACACGTTCTCGTTCCTATCCGTGATCTCAGTGGGGCGTTTAGCAGTCACACACATCACTCTCTTCTGTTATCGAAACTAACCTGGAGGGGCCGGTTTAAAACTCTTCCCCAGAGGTTTGGATGCTGCAGGAGGCGTTTATGCCCTGCAGGCATCTGATAATTAGCATGAACGTGTTACGGCACTTGAGTTTGTTACATTCTTTTAGAAAACGCAGTGGGCTTGAAAGAACACAAAACCAACTCAGCTTTTGCTCTTTATAAGGTGCAAACTCATACAATTCTTGCAGAAGCGTTAGATATAATGACCAGGAATAGGTCATTTTGTAGACGAGCAGCCTAGAAGATGCGTGAACCCCTTCATAATAATTTGTTAGACTGGGCGAGACGGTTGTCTTTTTTGAACTTTTCGCAAGTGTTTTTATTGTGTTTGGAGGATACTTGCTTGTTGCATTCTCATTCATTTCTATATTTATCGGTGTCATCTTTACAGCGGTTGTTATTTTTCGAAACCCAACTTACCCAAATTATTTGATTCACTGAATGCCTGATCTCCTGAACTAACAACTGAGTTTTTGGACATTTTCCAAAGTTATCTGAACGTGCTCCCCTGACTTAGCTGTTCCACATCCCTTTACGACAGTTGACCTTACGATTGATTCTGATATGTTGTTTCTATTAATGCATTTTTCGCTCACATAAAACTTGCTGTTTTATACTTTCAGGTCCCTCTCTCCCGCGGCTCCTTTTAATCCACCAAAAATTACTATCACCTCACCTAACCTAACCCCCTCTCAGTTACGTTTGCCGCTATGAAATGGCACCTCCCTAGTTAACTGCCTTATCGGATTCCCCCACACTACCCAAATATGATAACACATTAAAACTACTAGTGAGAAGGAATAAATGACCATCAATACTGGTCACTGTTTTATTCATTACGGCATTATTACGTGGTTCAATCGTGAATATGAATGAAACCAATAACTGAATAAATTTTGGTCACCTTGAAGGCCTTTCTAACTTGACTTCTACCAATTGGTGGATGTGTACTTAACAATGCTTACTTTCCATAGTAACGCTAACCGTTTTTTGGATCTCTTTTGGGACGGTATGTTACTAGGGCTACTGTGGGGATACACGATGATCTGTAATTTTTCGGTATGCAGCCTAATAGTCCAATTTTTCCCAAAACCAATGATTGCAATTTTAGGCTAAACGTTTCGGTACTTCGTCATTTCCGGCAGAATTCGAATAAAAAACTTTCGGCACCACTGATTAGTCTGTTTCTTTAACGTGGTTTGTTGAAGGTACTCAAGGCACTAAGCGTTTCCCACTGGGTTTTTGTCCTTAAAAGCACTCTATTATCACTTATTATTGGTTCGAATACCCTACACTAACCGGACTCTTCACTCAAAAAGGCTAGCCACTGGCTGGAGCGAATGCAATAATTATATGCCAATCTGCTCTGGTCTGAACCACACGTTTGTCTGTGAATGCACCCTTGGAAGTGAGTATGACGTCTGTTTGGTGAACGACGAGCACAACTTTGGCCAGGATTCGTCTATTTCATCACACATTCACGGCTAAACACACCGAGGGCACCGCATGCGCACATACATCAGTCAAGACGTGCTAAGCGATTTATTTTTGAGCCTGAAGTTCTGCTAGCTCAACCATTGGTCTGTGTTTTGACTGAAGGCTGTGTATGCTGCTACGATGGCTTATGAGAAAGTTTTAACTTCCTGGGTCGCTCTCAGTTTTATTTAAATGCATAGTCAACTTCCTTGGGCCTCGTCTGATGATGGAGTTATCATCACGCACGATGAACTTGACGATCACATCACACAAGTTGCCCACAAATTACTATCCCTCGTGCCTAACGAACTTTGCTTTTCGTTGCCTAATGTATGTCACCCGTAATTAGTTGTCCTCATTTCATTCAGGCTCGCAATCGACTTGAATCAGATTTGTTGGATGCCATGATGTGTATCGAGGATTTGAAGCAGGCTTTGGAACTCCGCATGGCTCGGGTAAGTTACTAGGACATTTTCTTTGCAGTCATTTGGGGATGAAATTTCCCGTCTAGCTCGGTGTGCAGCAAATGTCCCATCATGCTTATTTGAAACGTTAACGTGATATGGTAATAAACCTGCTCGCCGAGTTTGGTAACTGGTTTGTAGACCTGCCTAATAATCCACTGACAATATTTTCTCGAACAGTGCCAAAGCGCTTACAAGCCAATTGCCAGCTCGACGAGTGGGTTAAAAACTACCTGATCAACGAGCATGGCAGTTTACTCACTGACAAATCAGACGAAAAAGAAGGTTGAGTTCCTTTCGTAAATGAATAGGAATGACAGTTTTCGCTATTCTAACATGCGTTAATGACTATGCCTGTTAGGACAATTCGACGTGATATCCTAATGTACACCTAATTTGGATAGACTAAACAACAAGAGCCACACTCCCCCTGGGACACCTCTGAGTCGCACGGCAACCTCTTCAGGTCATTCTATTCGACATTTTTTGGCAGTTATAGGAAGCGGAGGGCATCTACCTCAAGTTTCGGAACGTGGGCAATTGGACAGAACACAGTACACTACAGTTTGGTCGCCTTTTCATCGGCATAACCGGAATTCTTATTTTTGCTTAAAATTCCATACTACATACAGATATTCTTGTGGGATAGTACTTCGCGATTATCCGCTGAATTTGTTCGCAAGAATTATTCTTTACGATGCCGTCTTCAGAAATGCGTCACATTCCGTTATTACAGGGACCACCGGTTTAAGTATCTGTGCCAGTGCTGACGACAAGACTTGTTACCCACATACATCTTCCAAGTATTTTGTCTGATCTTCGGCTCAGTGCATCTGCCCATGTGATTCCCCTGGAAACCTCATGGTTTGTACTTCCGAAACTGCTTGAAAACTACCTCTATTATTGATGGTCCTAGCGATTAGAGCGCGAATTTACTGACCGGAAGGTCCGTGGTTCGAATCCGACCTCCGCCAATCGACTTCCCCTGTCTAGGCTTGGGCAACCTGGTAGTATCCCAGCCCTCGTGCTTCCTTCGGGTGACATGGCAGCTAGGCACCGGAAGGGTGCTACAGCTGAACGATTTCTTTCTTTCTTCTTCTATTACTGACAATAAGCAACTCTCAGGCTTCATGTAATACACTAACCTTGGAAAATGTTACTCTTAGAAAGTAGGTACTTATTCGCTATCGGTCCGTCAGCCCATTTCTCTCCCACAGCAGGAGAGACAATGGAAAATGATACTCCTTTATACCCACTTGTACTGTATAATTGCTGACAGCATCTGAAACTGTCACTGATCACTTCTAAACCAAACGATCCATAACGTAGAAACCATGGGATCTTTTAAGCATATCTCTCAGTATAGTGTCCACATGCAGCAGCCACACATTAGCAACATTATTAGAGCAATTAACACAAGTTTAAAGGCTTTGAGTAGCTAGGATTATTTTTTACTCTTTTCGTACTTCGATTCTTCCCACGTTCAATGTTAGGTTTAAGTGGGCATCTTATATGATTCCCTTTCACCTCGCTTCAAGCTCGTATAACGGCGCATACAATGGATAAGGAATGCGATTAGTTGTGACACAGGCAACGCTACTGGTCGTTATCGAGATAGGTGAGAAGAGGGAGCTGTGCCTAATTGGTACAGCAGTAGGGGTATCGATGAGGCAGAGAGAGAGCGAAGCTGAATGCAACCGTCCGCCTAGCCGTCAGGGTAGTGGGTGGATACCGACCGAAAATTGACGGGTTGTCAGAACACTCAATGCGCCTAGGCGACAGGTCGGTGCAGCATGGATTTCTGATTAGCCCAGAAATAGAGTAGACAATTTTTGCAGCAGATTTTATCGGAAGCGCAGAATCCCTGGTTGACCCAAAGCGGGGAAAACTGGTGACAAAATATAACTCAGTCAAGCCCGAAAGTTACCCAAGCATCGCCATGCGCGAACTGCGTGTCCGAAAGCTTCTGTCTTGTAATGTGCTGTCAGTATAATCCGTGGCCGAGGAGTACTCCGAACTGTTCACAGGCGTTGAAGATCCGTTTTGTTTCTCCTTGTGGATTGCGCTCGAAATTCCCCTATCGTCCGAACGCTTCCGACTTTAAGGCCCCCATCGGATACTGCCCCATCTATGGAAGGTGGGGCATGAACAGGGTCAAGAAATGCTGGAAATGACTCATTCGTGGAACCCAGCAGTATATACAGCTCCCCGGTTGTGTTTGTGAAGAAAGTGAACTGGAAATACCGATTTCGCGTGAATTTCCGGCCGTAAATCGGCTTGTAACTGTCCGTTCTGTTGCGGAGGTTTCCTATTCGCTCCAGTAATCGTCATATTTCACGGTGTTCGACTTTTGTTCCGGATACTGGCAGCTAGCTATTAGGTCAGCTGACCGGGAGAAAACGGGGTTTACGGTTGGGGATACCCAAAATCAATTAAGATGCCATTTGGTTTTTCGTGGGCACCATTCACATTCCGGCGCTTGATGGTTCGTTTATCGAAGGGAATACAGAATGTTGCCGTGCATAGAGACGATATCGTGTAAAGCGATTCGGAAACAAAGCATGCAGTTCACTTGAAGACCATATTGAAACGTTTTCGAGAGGCTGGCCTGCGGATAAACGAAGCCAAGACACAGCTTACTCGGTGTCCGGTGACACTGCTCGGGCATAAATTAGATCATGTTGGGGTTAGCCCACTGCCAGAAAAAAAACTAGCAGAGAACCAGGAATGTTCTGTTTCTAATTCATAGCGATCCCTATGACAGTTTATTGGACGAGCAGCATACTACAACCGGTTTGTCAAGAATTTCAACACGACTGTCGCTCCACTGTACAAGTTGCTGCTTCAGGATAGGAATTCCGAATGGACAAGGGAAGCGCGTGAGGATTTCGAACGCGTCAAGGCATGGATGCTGGATCAGAAACTGACCCTCAAACTGCCCAGGGTTGTGGAGATGTTTACTGTTCCAACGGACGCACCGGGGAATCGGTGCAGTCATGCAGCATAGGAATGGAGTCATCGAATGGGCCAGTCGTATCCTGATTGCCGCTGAGAAGTACTCAACTATTGAGAAAGAATGTTTAGCGGTCGTCCGGACTCTGGATACGTGGGACAAAGACTTTACGCCAAGACCGACCACAAAGCCCTCAAGTGAAGCAGAACCACCAGATATCCCCGCAGAAAGGTGGCGCGCTGGACACCCCGGTTACAAGAGTACGACTTCACAATCCGGCATGCACCCAAAAGGGGAACCACCTGGCCGATTGGGTGTCAAGACCACAGGCCGAAAATGAAGCCTCGAATATCATGATCGGTGCCACTAGACTTGCCCTCAAACTGGATCTCAGAAGATTGGTGCAACCACGGCGGCAGGATCCTGTATCGCAGGAAGGAGTATTCAGCACGGGTAAGGAGACAAAGTATTGGAAACGGCCCAGAGTCACTTCGACAGATTGAGCCTGAGTGAAGCTGGCACAATATCCTGGAAGGCCGTAGATTCTGATGTTGTGCTGTCCTGGATGCCTTGCGCCTTGAGACGGAAGTCAATTGACGGATGCTACGAGATAGAACACGTAGGACGCACAGAGACCTACGACTTAGTTATACACAGGGCCTGCTTTCCAGGGATGAGAAGCGAGAGAATGTGTTATTTGGTGTCCTGTAAACGGTACCAACTGATGAAAGGAGACAGGGGCAGCTCACTCCGTGTAATCTATCTTTGTACTGGAAATCGGCCGGTTATGGTCTGTTAACGTCATGAGCTCCTTTCTAGAGATTAACGTACCGTTATAATGACTGAACAAATGTCGCGGTGGGCTGAAGCGTCAGTCGTATCAAATCAACAGGCGACGATGATCAGTGGAGTGGCGGTGCGCCACATCGTGGCTAACCACGGCCTGGTAAGAATGTTCCCAACGGATCAGAGACCTTGTCTGGAGAACGAAGATCATGGGGTTGGTTGCAAAGCTGGCATCAGACTGCTAGGGACAGCATCCTTCCACCCGCAACCAAACGTTTAAAGAGTGGCTGGTGGCCAAACAGTGTAGCTGGGAAGTAAACTTGCCGATGGTGTTAGTATATCGTGTGTCGATACAGCCAGATTCCTGATGAAGACGAGTCCCCGTTTATACAGATGTACCGTTGACATCCGTGCCTTCCAGGTGATCGGGAAATTTGGTTGTGGCCAACTCCACACCTGTCTGCAGAGGAGCTAGGAGAAGTAAGGAGAACTCGAGAAAACCTAACCACCGTTAAGGAAGAGACTAGGCAGAAAACGGCAGGCATGAAGGTACGACCATTGCCCAAAGACGAAAAGGCCGAAAAGATAGATCATCAGAATCCTGGAAGCAGAGAACTGGGGTCGCAGAAGTTGAACAGTCGTTGGCAAGGTCCGCTTGTCGTTACTGGTCGTCGGGGGATCGTCTATGTGGTCGAGGATCGATGAGAGTAAATAGTACTCGGATTCGGATGAGGCGTGATACAACCGAAGAGCTGCCAACTAGATCAGCTTCTGGGGCCGACATAGCGGAGGTCGATGGAAATCGGCATGCGTGTGACCTCTGAAGGGGGAAGGTGTGTAACGGTGGATACTACCGACGAGGCATGCGAGTAGTCTGTAGTCGTCTCGAAGCTCTACCATGCAAAGTGAAGTTTACTACGGAACTTGTGAACTTGCTTTGCAGCGTTCGTTTACAATTGTGTATTAGTCAATGAAAATCCATGAAAGTTCAAGAAGGTGTTTGAGAATGTCCAGGTTTTTTTTTTAAATTATGTGCATACGAGACGTTCACTTTCCTATCTAATAGCCTGTAACCTCGACGGTTTTCCTCCTTTCGTTGGTAGCTGGATGTGTTGCAAATAGAACCCTGTTAGCCCTCTCTGTCTCTGCAGATATATTCAGTTTTCTAGCATTAGTATCTCTCCGTTGCATACTCCCCCTACTACTCGCAAATAAAATAAACTTTCTAAGATTAATTTTAACGTAAACTATGGATCATTTCTCTTTGGTACTTAATGCCGACCCTTCCGTATTGTCCTTTCAGCGAAGAAAAATTGTAAGTTCTATTCAGTACCGTTTATCCAGACAGTCCTTACAGAACCGTTAATCCATTTTCTTAAGCTCGGTCAACCAGAAGAATACAGAAAAACTATTTTTCTAGTTCAGAAATATCTGAACCTATTAAAATTGGATTATTCAATAACCTAATTATAGAGAAGATCTAGATTTAGAACTCCCTTTGCGAGAGATTTTGAAAATTACTCATGGCACTCCATCAGAAACCGATTTTGAGATTCAACCAGTCTGTCGTTTGTGGTTCACAATGAAAAAACATAGTCTCGCTGATCAGATTTCCGCTCTTTCTCTGCTTGGGAGTTTTGATAAAATGTGTGCAGACAACAGAAAAACCGATGTCTACAATGCTCAGTAGGGAGTAGGTAGTTTACCTAATAGCAACTCGTCTCCGGTGTGTTTCCTGACATTTGTTCAACTTTGTATCACAGGAAGATATCCGAGTCAGTCTCTTTAGAGACGCAACATTCTGATTCAGAACCACATTTCTCTAGGTCTTCCTTCCTCAAGTTTCAGAAAATTTGGAGTTGCCTGCACCGATAATGGACGATTCCGTTCCACTTGCTTGTCATTTTCTGTGTCATTTTTGATATAATCTTGTACCGCTTTCCTATTTTATGCGTAAAAATGGATACTCGTCCCAACTCAGGAATTCAAAAATGCGAAATCATTCGCACTCCAGCTGAGAATGCAACAAAAAACTGAACATCTCATGCCTGTGTTAGTTGGTTTACATCACGTGGTTGATGCGAATTCAAACCATACTTCTAATGTGTTGTCATGTCTTGTGCTGTTGTCCTCGTCTTTTTAGCCCAGAGTCTATGCACAACCCTGAGAGAAAGAGTCCACTTCGGACCCGTGCTATGCATAGGATAGTCGTAAACCAGGTTACAATGTGACTAATCTTTAAGTGCTTTTTTCGCAGCGTAGACTGGGACATTTTACTTCCATCGAGCTGGGTTGACTTGTATCGGCCTTGGAACAGCAAATTCTTCTCCAGCACCCTTATAGGGGGAATTATGTCAAGACACTACTGATATTCTCCCAGCTGTGTGAAGAGAAGCAGGATCTTGTGTCTTACTTTCGGGTGACACTATGGCTGAGTTCACCTCCAAGCATGTGAATTATGAGAGGAATAGTGACTGGATTTAGATTCCCTTATTTGCAGAAGAAAGTGTTTACAGGGACTTGAGTACAGCAGCGACCTTATCGACCTCGTTATTATTCGGGGAATCCTATCTACCGATTGTCCATTTCAAGTGACACTAATCCAGCATTGTTTGAAGCTTTTCACTCCGAAAAACGTGTTTCTTTTTTCATTTTTAAACTTCAGGATCCTCGAGAGGCTGAGGAAAGGCGCTATCTTATACGACAAAATAAAAAACTACTTAATCAGGTAAGAAAATGGACGAAAGCGGTGCGGCCATCGCCCATTTTGTTTTCATGTGCTGCCAATCAACACCTTTCCCCTAATAGCTATACGAATCGGCCAAGAAGATTGAGAGATTGGAATTGACCAAAGTGGAGATGAAAGAACAGTTGGAATTGCTGGATTTTCAAATACTGGAGGTCGAAAATCAGAAAGCCATGGTAAATTGACTGGTTGTTGCTCCATTCAATTCTCATTTAGATGGAGGAAGAGTTACGCAAGCTACCCTCGTGTAACCACTCTGAGACGCAGACCGAAGTGAGTCTCATCGAGAAACATCTTGTTCAAGTCTGGAATTTTTTTGTGGCGCGACTTTCATCTTTCAAAATACATAGTTTTACAGCTAGCAATTACGGTGAATTCACACTAAACTTCGTTTTCGAGCTGTCACGTCGGCCCTCTAAAAACAATTCATTTTCTTGTTATCCTTACAAGTCTGATCCACTTTCACGGACAGTAGGAAAATCTGTGATGGTAATTAGGTTAACAGAAAAAGCCGAGCACCTGGGCACGGTCTATCGCGTATTTTCTGGACAGTCAGTGGGCTGAGGGCTCCGACACAGATTTCTGCTGAAAATGTTTCACCTGACATGTTTCTTGCTTATCACGCCGTTTTATTTTTACGAGGAATGTGCTCTCTGGTGATTGTTCTTGCCTGAGACAAGAGTGTACTAATTTTCATAAAATACAGGTGATCACATCGATTTGTCCGTAGTGCGCACAACCGATTTGTTGTCCGGTAATGCAGCCATTTGTCGGTAGTGACACTCGAGTTTGTGTTCGCAAATTGCACTGCTTTTCCAGCCCTAGGTGACCAAATGCTAATCCAATTGCACCACATACAAACATTCGTTTCGTCGTTCACCTTGATCGATTGAACATCGACAGCCGGTCCTCAGGCTGTCTACAGCATGTGATCCGTGTGACGAACGTCACAGTTGCGCAGGCGGTCGATTTGTCGAAATAAACAGTTGGTCATTACCTAAACGTAGTGAATAATTGAACGTGCCATGCTTTTGAGCGGTCACACCCACTTCCGGTTTTTAATGGAAAATATTGACTGACAATAATCCAAGCAGACAATCCAATAAATCTGCACTTCATTTGTCTGTATGAGGACAATAAGTGGTGAAGTCTGTGCTGTACAGAAGTTGACTGAACAAAATCAACGTATGTGGTGATACTTGTGGAGAAAAATGTCAACATTCAGGGGAGGCAGTTAAGGTCCGTGTTACTGGTCGCCTGGTCTGGTCAAGTAACCTGTGGCAAGAGGACAGAAATATGGATGTTCGTCTGCAACATTATGAGTTTCTTGCTGACCTGGTAGGTCGTATCCCTACGAATAGCTTTTTCGTACAGTGAGGGGGGATTTGGATAACCAATTCAGATGGTCAGATGGAAGATATGTTCTTGGTGGTCTTGTCCATTTGATCGGTGCGTGATATAAAACTGCAGTACACACGGCAATATTGTGTGCAGACTCAAGACAATCAGTAATTGCACCGGAGCTTTCTGTTATTTCGATCTTGAAGTATGCTGAACATATGATGTGAACCACAAGTTTTGCGGCTATTGTACCAAACTGAGCCACTCAAAATTCCTGGTCGATACCTGGGCACTTTAAACAAATGTGATAGATTAGTATCAATAAACTCTATGATTCGTATCGAGAGGAACATTTGTCTACCGTGAAAATGAGTGCCCACATACCTAGCTGTCAATCAGACCACGAACAAGCTCAGAAAACAGATACACCATAATGTAGCTCTTTGTTCGGTGTAGTTCAGTTTATGTGCTATAAGCCATGGGTAGGTTGGTTCTAGCTGCTCCAGTTCTGATCACTGGAAAGGGAAGAGCGCGAGAGATACAGCCAAGCACAGAAGGAGACTGCATAATAAGTTAATTTGAGAAGTGGATAGCTACGCATTGAAAGAAATAGCCCTGATGTACGAGCGCCACTGAGTGCGCCATGGGGCCATTTCTGTCACTGTGAGTAGCCATTGGTGAATTGAGCACATAGGTTTCCATCCGCGGAGGCGCTGGTTGTCGACCTGACTCAGTATACTGGTCAGTGTTTTCATACTTCGTTGCCGGGTCACACACCACTTACCTTACGGTTGCTTTCACTCTGCACAAGACTGGGCGAGGTAGACTGTACTCTGACATGCGGAGTATATATCTTAACTAGTGTAACCTATGAAGCAGAGTGATTCAGTTCAAGAGGGAGAGTTCCTTCTCCTAAAACCACCTCAGACCTGTGCAGTGCTTTTTACATTCCGATGGTCGAACAGTGACAGCTTTTTCATCTCCTCTGCTCATAGAGGCTATGTTTCTGATCCATAAAACAGTATGGATCGCACTCCCGCAGTGTAAACTCTGCCTTCGACAAGCTGACGTCAGGTCGACTCCATGGGTATGGTATGTCAGCAAAGCCGCTCGATTCGAGAAGTGATATGATCCCCAGGCAGTCCACCAGAGCGTATACAACTGTCCAGGCAAACAAGTTCATCTACCAGATCGATTGACTCCTTTGCAACCACGAGCTTTCTATCGATCTCAAACAATCTTGTAGTAACAATTTACACTGTAGGTTTGAAGGGTATGCCAAACCGTGCAGGAGAATGATTTAGGATATTTAAAATGGCCTATATTTTAGTAGGACTTAAACCAAGAAGAGCGATTTTTGCCGTATATTCATTGTCTGTGAGAGGACGTCCCGGGAGCATTTCGACCCCCGAGGTTTCGGAGGCGGACAGCGAAATTTCAAGCAGCACCTTAGTAACACAGGTGAAGGTGAGAGCGAAAGAGATCAGCCTTATCATTCACCACTGCACGTAGTGAACTCAGGAGAAAGTTTGCCTTATTCTCGTACCCGTCCATAGGAGTTCGCATAAAGAGTCCCCATGAGGGATGTAAATTTGGAATAAACACACTTGACACTGCTAAAGTTTCTGACAATCGACGGAGTCAAAACGACCTTCAGATTCAGAGAAATGCACAACGTGGGATGCTTGGACTAGTGGCGCTGTTCAAGAAATTGTTTCGAGGTGGAGACATAGTCGGCCAGCACGAAACTCAGCTTGATTCTCACGAATCTTTCTCTCCAGATAATCGATCAACCTTCGCACAATAGTGCCAGGGAACACCTTAGATGCGACGGATACCGGGCTAGTGCCACGATGTCTTTTAGCGAATTTCTTTCACTTTGTGGAAGACTGGAATGACGTTTTACGAGCTTTTTTCACTGCTATTCTGTCTTCGTTTCAAATCTTCTGAGGCATGGTCGTGAGTTTACCAGTTTACCAGGAACTTGCCACCTTTGAAGAGCGCGGGATGCAGACATCGGGGGCTAGGTGCTCTGTCGCATTGAAGCATTGATATATTACCACATATTTCTGTTTTTGATGACGGGCCTGTGTCAATGCTCGAGTTAGGCTGAGTTCTTCCAGCGACTGTGAACTCTTATCGAAGTGCGCAGTCCGTCGCTCAAGAGGGCAATATTTTACTAAATTTCCGTTCCGTCCTTTTTCACATCGTTTCGCTGACACTGGTCTCCTTCTGACTGGTCGGTCGAATCAGATGAAGTTATCTGCAGTGAAAGCCTCCCCTATCTCCTGGGCCATCGAAATCCACCAGTGTTCTTTGTCATTCTTAAACCTCCGGTGTTTGAGGGCTCGGTGTACACCATCCTGGTCGCTGGTCATTGCATAAACTTTCTGGCAACAATACGATCTGCTGATCTGAACGATATCCTTAAATCGCTTCCATTCAACTTCCAAGCAGTCTTCGATATCCTCATGTTTGTGCGTTCCTAGTGGCTTTCTATCAACACCAGCTCGGTACTCTTGAGCTACCCAAACCTGCCACAGTGGACGAATGGGGTTTCTCTGCTGTGATGGCCTCCAAGTAACTCGATGTGAGCGTTTGTGCCGGAAGTCCATACTGGCCAGGAACAGACGATGATCAGCACACAACTGAAGCAGTCGCTCCCCACTATATGTGCGCTGAGCATCGACGCCAAGTACACCACCTTATTATGCTCCTACGGGGCTTAGCCTTACAACCTGGTTTTAATTATAATTGAGTCGGATAGTCGCACAGCGCAAAGACAACTATTTACTGAGGTCCAGTCCCGTAAAGCGCATGCAAACTTGGAGTTGAGTGCAACTTTCACGTCGTAGATACCGGGAGCTACTGTATCAGGGTCACCAGATACCGGAAGAGTGAAATGTGGAACATTTGAGCTTGCCCTAAGCGGCTTGATGTACACGACCGAGGTGGTATCTTTTATGCGTGTTTTGGAGACACAGAATGCATCGACACAGAGAGAAAGCAAGGTTTCAGAAAAGGAAGTGTGTTGCTCCATTCGGTGTAGAGTACAGACATTGAAGACTTAGGTGGATCAGATTTTGGAGTTAGTTAGTGAGGTGCAAGGGCGAATAGTATTCTACGGTTGCCTAAGGAGGGTTGGTTGAGATACCACACTTGAGCTTTTTACTAAAAACTCTGACTAACAAGGAAGCGAGCAGCAGGGTATACCTTCGGGGACCCTGCCCGGAGCCCATGACTGAACAGTCTGACGTGCCCAGCTGCAGGTCGCTAGTCTAACCCGAGGACGCAGGGAGTGGGACAGGACTGTCTTAATCCCCATGCGACTGCGCACAGGAGGAGCCATTTGATCAGGCTCTTCGGTTTCAAAAGTATTTCGACCGTATTTAATAATGCGCCGGTGGTCACGGTAAACCACTGAGCGGTCGAAGTGTGTGGATTTTCGGGCCGACCTTTTCTAGCCCATCCTTTCTTCGAGAAAGGCAGCAGCTACTTCCATAGCTATAGACATGCTTGTCACCTGGAGAATACGTCGTCATGTCTTCACACTCCTGTCACGCATGACAGTTCAACTTTGCCTCCAGATCACCTCGTAATACGAGTAGTCGCATTACGAGGACTTGATATCCTTCGACGGGCTGCTCGTGGTATGCTTGAATCTTGGGTAACTGAGTTCCAGCCAGTATGACCCGCAGGATCATTGCGGCACTGAAACCGGGCTACCAAGAAGGGTGATGGCTTTAGGTCGGGATATTGTAGGTGTGCCTTATTTCAACTTCCCGCACTTTCCATATGTATAAGAGTAGTCATCGGTTCTGTCACTCTTAGCGCGACTCAGTCTTCGGAGTGTAGTCGTACTTTGTTCTAAACGCACCACCAGTGAGAGACGGTGTTGTGTGAGCTACGTTCGTTCGCTTGTTTGGGGAAGTCTCAACTGAAAGTCGGAATCTAACCAAATGTTAAAATCCTTCGGTTTCTTTTTGTGCAAGTGTGCGGATTGATCATTCTGTTCACTGAAGACGTCTGCAGCCATATGTCGAGTGAAAATGTCCAATGGCCTCATGCGTGCCAAATCCCGCAACGTACACTTCAGTAAAGAAAATTTCAACCACCTATACTCAGTCTGGATAGAATAAAGCATGTTGGATTTGTAAAAAGCGTATGTTGCTGCGGACAATCAGGTTGCAAAACTTTGCTGAAAAGTTTTTGGTTGGTATTGTGAGGAGATTTGGGAATTTTTAATGGAGATTTCTCCCTGTAAGTGAGGTCAATATACGTTTCCAGTCTTTTCAGCATTGGCTGGCTTCACTTAACCGACGAAATCTCCATAAAACCTTTTTTGTTCTACCTTGGTTTGTCTATTGCGATATTTTGTCAATTCGACAAACTGCTCGAATGTCCTGGGCTTATAATATTTCTTTTCAGAAAAGCAATTTTTAAACCTGGATGTTTGAAACAACCTGATTCCTAAATGCGGACCCGTTTTACTATGCCACCAGATACATCCTCTCTCGCTGCTTTGTAGTACACCCTTGTCTACAGCAGTACTCGACGTTACGTGGAGTATCTAGTCTGGTCTTCTGGCATTTGTGATGTTTCCGGACTAGTGAATCATTGCCAGCTCACCGGTTAGTATTCAATATGATGAGTCATTCAAGTACGGGCGAAGTGAAGCGCGACTGTCACAATTGCACGACTGCCTACAATGACCGTTCGTAATGAACAACAACACTGAGTTTTTCCCACGTATTAAAATGTAAGCGTGCCTTAAGAATAGCTGTCTCACAATAGACTGGTGAATTGTCACCAAACTATTTTGGGAGTTCCCCTAGCTGACTGAAGCAAGTCTACCTAACTGAGTCGTGGTTCCTTTCACAAATGAATGGTTCCTCTCAATGCTATTTCGTGACAGTAAGCATACATAGACTGCCAAAAAATACAAATTTATTCTAGAGTAAGGCATCCCGCTGCTGAGATATTTCGGGATCTTCGTCATAATGTAGTCAGTCAGCACATGCTTTACCAATACTTGAACATTTGTTCTTTTTGTCATATGACCCACACAATCACTCTCATCTATGTGGAAGCGTTTGCTGTTAAGCATACCCTATGCCCATTAGAATCTAACACACCCTCACACCCTGAAACAGAAGTTTACTTCCAACAACAGACATCACCTTATTGAAGCTGAGGTTTCCGATACGAAACTTTGAGTCACGCGTAGGTTTGACGATCTGGAATGTAGTAGTGTCGTAGTGTCGACTGTTGCTGACCGGAACAGTGCATTGTCAAGGCCCGCACACCAAACAATGTTGGGCAGACAGTTGGCTCAGAAGTGTGGTTTGCGGTCGTCTCTTCCGAGGGCAGTTTCGTGATCATGATTGGCGGTGCGATTGCACTGAACTCAAGACAGAACACGACAGAACATATTCGGCAAACTGGGCATAAACACGTATGGGTTATTGGGTCAGCTGCGCACAACCACACACACATGCTAGTATACCAGTGTCGAACGGGACGGCCATCACAGCAAGGTGAATGGGGGCTGCAGATGAGTAAAACAAGTGATCAAAAGTACGCGGTCGAAGTGGGCGAATGAATGGGGGAATTATCATGATGTCAGGTCAGATTCAATAAGGTTGTATGAAGTTAGTCAATTGAAAAATTCTCGGTACTGACCAAGGAGTCATCGCTTCATAACAAACTTCTATAAGGTCACTTTTAATTTGTGGTTACCCACGGGTACTTTTTCATTTGAATCTTTCGAAATACTAGTGAAGACTTCGTCTTTTTTTCTGCTATGGTTTTCCGATCAAATTTGGCCCAGTAAGTACAGAAGGACACTCGAGACATTCTCCTCAATGGGCAAAAAATTAGGTGAATAAAAAAAATCACTTCCCTTAGTGTTTGAAATCACGTATCTAGTTTATGCTACCAGCATTCCATCCCGAACTCTTGACTGAGAAAGTAATTTACACCGAGAAACCTTGTTGTGTTACTGTCTTCGTTCCACTCAGCATAAGGGGGGAGTATTCTAGAATCTGCTGCATCTTCAATTATATTCAAAGCACACTCATAAACGTGTTCAATGTTCAGATGTCATAAATTTTCACCAAGCACGCGTCTGCAAATAAACAGCATCCAATAAAATCCTTTACGACTGCTTTTCACGTCTACAACTGCTCATGGGTCGTAAGTAAAACTCCAGACATTTAAATAAGTAAATGAACACGGTAAGGCACAAGTTAACACGCCAAAATAATGAGAAAGTGTGGACAGTCCGTGCACACATAAATTGAAACCAACTGTTAGTACAAGTACAAATTTTATCCACGCAGTCGACTTCCTGGTTCGGTATAAAGGGCCTGCATGTGTATTAAATTTGCGCGGGTATTCGGATATTCACCTTGATGAGACGCATCATTGCGGAATGTCATGACTGATCCCCTTTTAAACTGCCTCCTTGGTGAAATCACCGCTGTCGCTTAATTCTAAGACCTAAAATCGCAGTAGTTTTACTTTGTGACTCATCAGGTGTTCATACTATTCCGAGGGATGGTTCCGTTTTCATTTTCGAATGCTTTTCAAGTTATCTTCGACAAATCCTGAACTCGCTAGTAAGGCAAAGCTGAGCTTTCAAATGACGAAAGGTACGAATATACAATCGATATTTGCTTTCTGCAACTATAATTATATACCAGTGCGGACCACACCACCTCTGTTCCTTTCTGCATTGAGAATAGACCTAAAATTTATTTTTGAGAATCTCATCCAGAAATATTTTACACACTGCAGATCATATGCTTCATTGGGCGCAAGAAAATACTGGAGATGGCTACATTTATCTGCTCTGTAACAAAGAAGAAAAAATGAATCTCACTAAATTTCATTTCAAGTCATCCAAGGGCATATTTAGTGGACCTGATGCCCCAAATTTCGTATGATAGACTAACCCTTAGTCACTTCATCTCTCTGCGTAATAGCCGTATTTTCTGGTCGGCGTTTTCTCAGGCTAAACTTTCACTGGCTTCAAAGTTCGATTTAGGTAGTATTAGTGGTGTTGAGTCAATCTGTTTACGTAGAATCTTGCCATCTTGGCTCATCTCTGCATAGCAACCCATCTGTTAGTCAGCCCATCATCAGCTGTACACAGTACAGTACAGTATCGTACATTAATAAGTTAACAATATAATGGTCTCAAAAACCGACCGTNTCTCAAAAACCGTTATCCCTGCATTCCTGCGATTATTTCTTGAGGTCAGTGATGTCTGTTGTTTATTGAAAGCTTCAAGAAATTCGAAAATGTATAGACCACAATAATCCCAAAAATCTCACCTTTGGACAAACCGTTATTATTGGTGGATCACCAAGTGAAACGGCTTTCCTAATTGGAAATGTGTCATCTTAATTAGCCAGATCAAACATGCGTCAGTTTGACTGAATTGCATTTTCAATTGAATTATGTTAACTCTCTTCACTTTAGCCATAAAATCCAATATGAGTACGCCTTTTAAATGTAACGTCATAAATATAAATTTCCAAATGCTATCGTTTTCAGGACAGTGAGGACTCAGTTTCTCATCTGGTACAGCACCTGAAAGAGCAGTTGACTGAGCTGCAGTCGGAACTGTGCAGTCAAAAAGCGGAAACAGCTGCTGCCTTGGCAAAGCAACACCACCTAGATAATCTAGTGCGAGAATTAAGACGGGACAATGTTGACCTGAGAGATCAATTGTCGAAACTGGACGATGCAGAGAATTCTCTGGCTGAGAGTGACAAACCTTTGGCCACTGGAGTCCGAGCACTACAGGTAAGGCATTAGGAATGGCTCAGTATCTTCGGCAAAACATATCGGAGCTTATTTTGTAAGTGACATTTTCAGCAACAAAAAACTTATAAATGGTGTTTTTTCGTCGCATGGTTGCCACTTATCCAGTGAGAGGGTGGAACCGTTGTCACTCCGACCAGTCCTAGACTGAAAGACATTGTTTATGACCGGAAGATGTGTATACATTACAATTTTGTTTGTTTCAGATAAGTTTATCATTATCGCTTTATTGAGCTCTCAAGATGGGAATAATCTTCTCTTGAAGTTAGGTTGTCAGTATATCTTCCAATGCTTCTCTCCAAACACAGGAAAGCAGCCTTCTCCGGCTACTCTCACACATTATAATGTGGAGTAAAATCTTTCAGGATAAAGGAAGGTCAAGGGCGAGTTTGGCTTAAGTGTCACTATTAGCTTGCAACTATTGGGTACTGTGTCTCTTAACAACTAGCTTTAAGCTGGATTTGAACCGGCATTAGTCAGTCTGACGTCAATGGAATGCCTGTATTTGTTGAATTCTGGTAATATTCACAGATGTTGATCTGCTGTCACCCGTTAAGTTCACAAGCCGCCTGTCTGTCAGACTTTTATTCCACACAATATCTCTATCCAATACGTGGTAGCTACTTGATCGACCACTCACGGGATAGTTAAAGCACTTAATTATTGACCACTCCCACCGTTATCCTCAAGTGGACCAATACGTGTGATAGATCGTTACTTACGTACCGCTTGAACGGATATAAATTCCGTCCCAATCATAGCCTTCTTTGTACCGCTTCTCTGTTCTACGGGTGAAACTTGTCTGAGTTCACTGTTTACTTAATGATTGCTCAGTTTGCCCTGACTATCTCTCACAGTCCCAATTAGACACACAACTCGAACGAGTGCGTGAACTGGAATCCAAGCTGAAAGCATCGCGTGACTACTCAGAAGAACTGGAGACACGTTTACAAACAATGGATTTATTCAAAAAGTCTCACGGCGCGGCTGATATTCAACCAACTACAGATAACACACAGGTGAGCCAAGCGGCTGAAACTCCTAGTACACAGGCACTGTCACAAAACACTTGTATGCCTGTTATTTCTCAGCTTGTTTTACAAACATTTCGCCCCGCTACCTGCCTTGTCTCACTCAACGGAATGGGTGCTTTGGATTTACAGGCCGCGATGCACGACGCTATGACGGGTTCCGGTCATGCAGCCGGGTTACGTGTTCCTCGTGTAGACGACTTGCTTTTGCAAGAAACAATAAGGACATTTCACGCATTACTTGCAGAACGGGACCAAGAAATGGTCCAACTGAAGCGGTACATACGGGCTAATGTAGACACGGATGACTCGTCTTCGCTGGTCTTGCCGGATTTGTGTGAAGCTGCCATCCAAACGGATTTGTATCTGGGTCAGGCGGAACGATTATCCCAAGTGGCAGACACTCTGGTTACAGGAGGGTTTGTACTAACTGCTGAACAGGTATCAGCACTGAAAGAAGAGATCAACCGCTGCTTAGCCGTCATGACACAATGCAAATCGGAAGGCTCATCCAAACAACCTCAGCCCCAAATCGCAGATGTTTTAAGTTTTGGTGATTTGATCAGTGCTGTCGTCCAGATGGGTCAACTCGCAGAAGACGTCCGTCTTCAAATGACTCTCTCACGGTCTTCAGAACAGCAGATCTTAACAACCGACCTAAGGTAAGTTCGTTCAACTGATTTTATTGTCCTTTTGGACCGTTTGTTTGCTTTAAAGTGTTATCTGAAGTGGATTATGTGGTCCGGACGTCCCCATATGCAACACCGGTTTTGTAAGTGCTTTCTATAAGAAACGTACAAACTCACAACTTGTCTCTGTCTTCAAATATAAGGGTTCATAACTATGTTTATCCTATAATATCAATCTACAATTCTTCCTTGTGTTGAACGTGGCGTCTTTCCGCCTGTTTAACCTTGATGGTAGGAAAGAGATTGCTAGTTCAATGGGCATTTTCTTGGTATTTACTGTTCCAACTACAACCGATATGGAATGTCAAGGGCTACTTAGCAGCTACGCACTAACAGGGAATTCAAGTCTATCTGCTTTCGCATAGGTATTTTTACTTAATGTTAACCTCTGGGATATGATATTTTCCGCATACAAGTCCAACCTGCATCCAACGGTTTACAGGTTCTGCCATTGGTGAGTAGCCTTTACCTGTAGAACCGAAATAAATTTTACGTTTGATCTTCGAGCCATCCACTGCTAACCAGAAGGGGTCTTTTTGTCTGATGAATACTTGGGCTACATAACATCTCCTGTATATCGTCATTTGTAATGACTGCCTACCTAATCATTAACAGGTCCCCCTTCGTATGCCACGCCAGTCACTATATAATAAATTTAGCCTAAAAACCTTTCATATGTTTGCCGTTCTGGTTCCGTCTGAAAGTTCTTCATCAACATTTCTTTAGGTCGGTTCATTCATACACAAATTCGCGATAACTGTAGACGATGCGTAGTGTAGCCAGACAGCCTGTCTGATTCAACCTTGCTCAACGGACAAAATAAGGACAATGAGTGTCGGTCCGAGTGCCTTGCACACAAACACCAGACTTTCCGGACAAAACTAATTCAGTCGCATAGACTCCGTATTGGATTTTTCATCACCAAGGGCGTAACCGTTGCCAAACTTTCTGGACTATGTACTACATTCATTTGTGTCAGTTAGAAGTACTTGAGAAAAACTACTGAACGAGACGTCTAAAACGGAATAGATCATTGTTTTTAGTCTATCTAGTGTCAACAATGCTGCGAAAACTCTTCGTAGTATATCCTGGATACTAGTACACAGAACGGAAGTGAATATAGATTTGTGGTCAATTAGTTTAATCGCCAGTAGGTTGAATTAATCCATTAGTATTGGCAGTGGCCACAACCTTAAAAAATTGTTTCACTAAACTAAAACTCTAAACCACGATGTTGTGTCGTGTGATTAATACTTGTATTAACTTTGGTATAATTTTGTAGGCCCCAACTTGGTAAGAAGGTCAGCTGTTGGTCCGGATCTATTGGCTTAGTATGTTATAGCATGGGAGGTATGGTTCAAAGTGGAAGGTAGGAGTTCTTTATTTCGAATCCCCTTGAAAACCGAACGCTTGCTTCCAGTTTAACAATTTGATAATTATTTTGAAAATATTACTTGGACACTAAGTCGGGCCCAAGTTCATCCAGCGCTCCACTGGACACAGTAACAAACTTCGATTGCCAGTCAGCTGTACCTTCGTGTCTTTACTCGAGATCGCCTGCGGAATGAAAAGAACGGGTGACAGAGAAAATCAGAATATATAACTGCCAATATTTTCCTCTTTACTTCCTCAACCACGATGCAAACGATGATTAATTCACATTCAATTTTGGAAATGACTGAAGGAAATCAACACAAAGACTGTATCTGATCACAGCTGAACACCTAAACACAAGCAGGTTATCGCCTGCCTCAAGAGCTTTTGTGCGCATACCTTCCACCATTTTACTTTGTCAGCATAGCGTTACTGAATGTAGGAATATTTTGGTTTGTGCTGTGCAGTAAGAGTTTGAATGATTTTTCCTATAAACCCAGTTTCCCATCACTTCGATTTGCTTCGTAATCGAGGATTCTGGTATTCGGGTATTCTGTCGAGGTGCTCGTGGTTCACTTTCGCAGGCCATCTTCTTAAATGGTCGAACATGAGCGTAACTTCATCTGCAGATGAACTGATTAATCTTATGAAGGGCAGAATCTTTAGTTTCACTGTGTGATGCGCTGCTACAATTGAGTTGATTGGTTGTTGAAAACAGAGGTGTTGCATTTCTAAGCGAGAAAATTCCATTCATTAACTTCACAAACTTGGTTACATGTGAAAGCAAGACAACATTTGTGCACTTTTATTCAGCACGAATGTGTAGCGCAGATATGAAACACCGACGTTCCAAACGGACATGTTGTCTGGATTTCCAACCGCGGAACGCGAAGAAGAAACTAGGATGACTAGCAGCTTTGATTCAGTAGATCTTCGCAAGGTATATGCACAACTGAACTGAACTGGCCTTATTTAAACTGAACCCCTCAAATCGAAAGACAAAGGCAAACGACCTAAAGCGAAATAGCGAAATATATATAAAAGCTGTGCCACTTTTTTCACAGACTGAGACGTTATTCTGTGCTTTGATATGCGTTAACTTGTTTCAAAGTGGTCCCAGTGTCTTCCGCTTATGATTTTGGTCTGTTAGCCGCGTGAATCGAACAATACCGTTGGTTGTGTTTGCCACATTTTCACTTTCGCAGGCCATCTTCTTAAATGGTCGAACATGAGCGTAACTTCATCTGCAGATGAACTGATTAATCTTATGAAGGGCAGAATCTTTAGTTTCACTGTGTGATGCGCTGCTACAATTGAGTTGATTGGTTGTTGAAAACAGAGGTGTTGCATTTCTAAGCGAGAAAATTCCATTCATTAACTTCACAAACTTGGTTACATGTGAAAGCAAGACAACATTTGTGCACTTTTATTCAGCACGAATGTGTAGCGCAGATATGAAACACCGACGTTCCAAACGGACATGTTGTCTGGATTTCCAACCGCGGAACGCGAAGAAGAAACTAGGATGACTAGCAGCTTTGATTCAGTAGATCTTCGCAAGGTATATGCACAAACTGAACTGACTGGCCTTATTTAAACTGAACCCCTCAAATCGAAAGACAAAGGCAAACGACCTAAAGCGAAATAGCGAAATATATATAAAAGCTGTGCCACTTTTTTCACAGACTGAGACGTTATTCTGTGCTTTGATATGCGTTAACTTGTTTCAAAGTGGTCCCAGTGTCTTCCGCTTATGATTTTGGTCTGTTAGCCGCGTGAATCGAACAATACCGTTGGTTGTGTTTGCCACATTTTTGCATAGACCAGCCTGTTTAACTTAACTCTTCAACTGAGCTATGGCTTCTGTTCCTTCTTCATGCTCTTTTCAATTTTTGCCACGGTATGCTTCCATAAGATGTGCCCAATGAACCTCCGTACATAGCGAGTAGTTGAAGCAATTGTGTCACCGGTAATGGTCAATGTTTTCCTTACGTTGCTGATGTCCTTCCTAACAATTTTTATTTTTAATTTTTATTATATCCTACAGGGTCACCCCCATAGGCGAATCTGAGGTAAGTTTACCCACAAATGTTCATCTAAAAAAGACTTGCTTCCACATAAATCCTCCTCGCATGATCTTTATAAGGGTAGATGTCCATTGTTGAACTGGTTGTGTCGGGTAGTGTTTAAGTATTAGATATTGGAGAATTGTGTTCTATTAAGACCGGGCTGACGTATGTGTTACTAAGGTCTTATTCTGTAACTTTGTGAGAAGTGGGAAAGTACATGTGACACAGGTACAGCGGTTATTTTGGTTTAGAAAACAATTCTTTTAAAAGGTGTCTTTATCCAATGAGTGTTCTGCGAAATTCTCGGCCTGAATTTGGGACGCGTATTGTGAATAAGGAATCCGCCAGGGATATCACACCTGAACTATACATGAGACTTGGAAACATCAACTTGTACATTTTGCGTTAATTAAGGTATGGAAGTCTTTCGTATGGCCCTGTTTCCTGCCGTATTCTCCACCATGACAACCGTAATCATACTACCCAGTTGCCCATTCTAATTAGGTGTTCCCAACGTGGTTTCAAAATCCCAGACGGTCTCTTTGGACTGAAGTGATCAAACTTGCCTCTAAATTAAAAGACAGACACTTGGAAATGATCGTTATCACGGTGGCTTCTCGTTACCAAATGGCCACTCGTATATCGACTAGGTTTATAAGCATGCATTACAGATGTGTTTATTAGTACACCTCAACAAGCGGTATGTAGGTACTGGTTACGTGGTACTGAGCATCCTACACCATATGCTAGTATCTAACAATATCCGTCTTCGATGCTTTTCTAAAATCTTGCTTCCATAGCCTCCTGATACCTATTGGTCCTTTAACCCATTCAGTCTGATGTTGCAGTCTATGAACTCTAAGCTCTAATCACTTGTGTTGGTAATATGCTACCCCATCAACATGCACTCTATTTCAGCTGTGTGCAGTAACATCCGTCGACCAAACTGACAAACAACCACTTCTACCTGCTACCGAACGACTCATAGGTGAAGAGGACCATAGTTCACTGGATATCATATCTCATATAATTCGCAAACTAAAAGGGGAGGACAATCAGCAATGCCATGTAAAGATTGAACAACCACCCGTTCAGGTTGGCGATGAACCAAAACTTTCCCGTGTACCCATTCATGAGATCCGTCCAGTAACTCTGACGGTTGAAGAGAGAGCAACCAGTAGAGATCAAGAAACCCCACCGCTTTTTGAGACAAAATTGTGCACAAATAAGGAGCAATCACCCACACATGGTCAATCTCAGCCAGTTGGTCGTCATACTGTTCTGGAGAAAAGTATTTTCCCTATAACCAAGACAACAGCACAGAGTACTGGTGTACTTCGCCGTGCGGAAGAGCCAGACCACGAACATCACTCATCACCTGTCACGAGTCCATCAGATGAAGAGGACGAGTACGAGGCAGGTTTTCAGTTCCACGTGGGCCCTATGCAAAACGTAGCACACCTTGCTAACAAACAAGCGCGTGAACTAATTCGAGATGTGGATTTTATCCAGCAGAGATATCCTCCAAAGCATGAAGACTTGACCGAGGATATCAGTGAAGTAATTAGCTTTTGCGACTGGAAGCCTGTTAGTCGCAAACCACTTCAAGTGGCACAAAGTAACTATCAGACTGGTGATGATGACTCGCCTTCTGAAGCCGGCACTGCTCACAAACTTCAGCCAACGACGCAGCCAAAATCTAGAACGTTTGACTTTGCTTCACTGTTTGGTTTTGGTGCCACTACTACGAAAAAGATGGATGTTGTTGGAGCTGATAGTAGACTCACCGAATTTGCTGGTAAAATATCAGCCCACAAACCCGTACAACTACCCGACATACCTGACTGGACAAGTTTTGGCACTCTCTCCTTCGAACTTGTGTGTACAATTCACCAAGAAGCAATAATATTTGTGCATCTATTTGAATCCAGTTGCTTCTCTTCTCATTGTTCAACTGGCCAACAAAACAAACCTCAACAAAACGACTGCTTTGGCATTTCCGCTACGATTCATAGGCTTAAAATGAATGCAGATGCACTAGCGATGCAAACATTAGAGGAATTGCAGAGGCCTTTAAAAAAGGATTCAACTGACGACAAATTACTGATGACACAAAGTAGCGCTGAATCTTTTCAGGCTTTTTTATTGAACAATATCGATTATTGGCTTAAATATGATCCCCCAACACCCAAGTCTGGTCGCCGTAACACTTTGCTTGAAAAATCTGCGATGGCCAAGCAGAGGTGGCTTGAAACAGCTCTGCTTGGTTTGTCCCTGCTGCGTATATCAAGCATCCCATCGACTACTTTATCTACCGAAGAATGTCTTATTATTCCGATGATAAGTTCTGAAACTCCAGCACAGTTACCCGACGTCAGATCCTCTATGGGTTGCAGATGGAAAGGAAAGCCATATAACACGCTTTCAAGAAGTCTTCTTACTAACCTAGTTTACTCCAGTAAAATAACGACGAACTGGATCATTAGTGCGACCGACCTCTTCTATCTGCCTTCGAAGCATCTTACACTTATTGCCTTACGGCTTTTTCAAGATCAGAATGGTGCCAATGGACCCTGTGAAAATAACAGAAGAGGACTTCCACGTATGCGTACACCGCTCCTGAAGGAAATTCTTTCAGAACGCATTCGATCTAGTTGTCAACTACTTTCTGGCACTCTATATCAACATGTTGCTCACAGCGAAGTTCTCTTCTCGGTTTTGAAAGAACTCTCTCCATCGGATGATTCGCCTGCGTCGTTGAACTCGCGTGGCACGCTTGGTATACTAGCAGCCCAGCTGCGTCTCTGCTTGAGGATAAAAGCAAGACTGTGGGAATGCCTCACGGAATCACTTTTGTCAACCTGTTCCCACACGGTGCTCGACGCTCTGACCTCAGCCCTGAATCCCCAAGTTGCCAACAGTATATGTCGTCTGGCTGGCAACGACAAATACCTTGCTCTGAATACGCTGTTTCGCCTTCTATGTGCGATGCATTTCGAGCCAGCCTGCGTTATCCCGTCTGCAGCCAACACGTCCGACACCTGTTGCCACAGTTATCTATTACCTTCAAGCTTGCAGTTCAAAAGCGCTCTTTCGTGTAAGTACCATACCCTGCGGTCACGTGATACTGTTGCCAGTGTTTTATGTTATTATATTGGTGAACTGGCTCATGGAGTGTGGCTACTCACTGGCGTGTGGCCGGCTACAGTAGACTCCACTATACATACCTGGCCTGCGGACCGGTTGTGGATGACAGCTCTGTTTTACAAGGAGTTTCTGTTGAATTTGCTTTTTGGTTGTCAACAGGATAGGAGCTCTCATCTCCTGCGAATTCAGACAGCGTTAAATGTGTTATCCAACTATAAAAACAAACGGGTGACGGGTGGGACAGTATGGATACCAAGACAGCGTTTCAATTACTCACAAGACACGGAATCTTTTGTTCTCCTGCGCGTCTATCATGCAGCTGTGCTGGAGTTACTCCGGATTCATCCACATCCATCCGAAATGAAAGACCGTCTTTCTAAATCCGCTCGAATCCTCAGTCTGGCGCCTCTTAATTCGGCAAACCGGATCACAGTACGGGGGTTACTACGTTACCTGGAGGAATACAGGAACAAGATGTGCAAATTGCCATGTGTGGTTATTCAACTGGCTCACCTATGGTGTCATACGAGTCAAGATTTGGGAATTGATGATGACTTGGACCACTCTCTTTCAAACACCGACAGGGAACACCACTTTATGGGAAGCATTCTAAAACCGCTTGAGCAACTTTCTACCTTTCGACCGCCTCTGTGTGACCGACGGTTGGCGCTTGTGGAACCGTCAGTCTATTTTGCTGTGCTACCTGAAGCAGAAAAATTCAATTCTTTCGGCGCTCTAACTGAGCGAATTATACAACGTCTACAGCGCCAATTGTCTGGCTCAATTCCGTCCCGGCTGCTCTCAACCAGTAGGGTAACTTTGTTGCCGTGTGTTATTGGTGGTGGTTGGTACACACCAAATGGGGGTTAACGAGGTTGCACTATTGGACTTTACTTTATCAGGTTCACCTCTAGAATTCATTGAGGCTATTTAATTGGAATTTGGGAATTTTTATTTCGACTGTCCTCATTTGACGATGTAAGTGTGGCTTACGTTATCCTGATTTACTTTTTATTCCAGAGTGAAGTGACGAGTGAACTTCTTCCGCAAAATAAGCCCGGGTAACTTCTTCTTTGGTGTTTATTTACATTTTCTACGTGTCTTACAAAGTGGCATCCAAATTTTTGGCAAAAATTTCGGTGATCTTTCCCAACAATTAAGCTAGAGGACCTCAGTTTTCAAATGTGTAAATGAACAGCTTACCTTTCTGGTTTCCTCCTTATTTGATTTTTGACTTGATATAACCTTTAAAACATGACTAGCCCCCTCCGGATCACTAGTAAGATACCCATAACCCTGATCTGCGATCCTGGAGGGAACAACGCCTCAACATGTTCACTTAGGGCTCCGCTTTCCCGATTTCCCCTTCATCAACGAAACATACATGCAGATGACCGATGAATAAGTATGAAGACAATGATGATTGAGTTTAGCGTTCTTGGTGTATGACCGGCCCTTAAGATGCGGCAGTAACGGAAGATCATGTGAAGCCTATTATCCATACCAGGGCTCTCAACCCGTTTGTGTCACCTGACAATCATGACACGTGAGTGACAAAACACCACCTATTTGGATGAAGTTTTCAGGGTCGGCGTGGATCCACAGCGCTAACTAACTTTTATGACAACCATGATAGGAACTATCACAGCTAGTGCCACATCCATTACCTGGCCTCCTGGGTAACCAAACCCCATTTTTTTCCTAGCAGATGTTGTGACGTACGTAGTAGATACTTTCCCACAAAAGCCATCTGTCATTATGCAGGTACTGTTTGATAAATCACACTTAGCTTGTTTGAAACGAATGTAGTGCTGTGGTTAAGGCAATCTGGACCTGAGAGAATCTGGTCGTTTGTGGATGAAATCTCGTGTCATTCAGTGTAACATCTTTGTAGTCGATTGTCCAACCGAGATGGGTTTGTTTATCAGTTAACCGGAATTGTTTACTGAATAACGTATCCTTTGTTGTCTAAGTGGATCCTTTGGAACGTGGCGCTGAGTTCGCGCACTTCGACTATGGATGTTGGTTCTCCGCTCTGGAAAAGTACTCATCAACTACATCAAATTGATAAACTAGACTTTCCTTTTTTTAGCTACCAGAAGTTGCAGCATCATGGAAAATTCGACTCATCTGTCATTTTTTGCTTACCTTGTTTTGAGTTTGTCTGATATAGGTTTTCACTGTTTTTAAAACAAAAATAGAGATAAAAATGCTCAATACAGCTAGCCCATTAAAATGTTTAGTTGGTAAACCTATGAGTTCAGACCGTGTTTTGCAAAATTCCACCCAACGGAGCATGATCCACTAAACCCACCAAGCGGGGGATATGGCTGTAATACGCCACTTAGGCGGTTGTGAACGCCCACAAAAATCCTCCCGGTCACCTTATTCCTTCAAATGTTCTCCCGTCTGTCCAACTCATTAGATTCGTACCCTGGAATTGAGTACAGCGAGTTTCCTTCAAACTAAACTCACCATAAATTGGTTAGGGTCAGCTTGCCACGTGAAGGACTTAGTCGGCAACCTATCCGTATTTTCAGCCACGTGGCAATATCAGCAAAAACATTCTTCACTTTGTTTTTTATTTCTGAATGGTGCGGATCACCTACCTGTCCAATGTCTCGACGCTCTGTTTTTTCCGGCTGTTGAATTGCTTTTTAACTATTCAACTTCCGTTACGCTTTTTTTGTGGCAAATTGGTTTACTCATGCTTTCTCAGTCTGCCTAAATTGTTTGGACTCATCATCAAATGAATCCCTCTGCTACCCTATTCGACAAACATTGACAGTTTAGTGCAATATTTACAACTGTGTAAACGACAGTAGTATCCTCGACACTACTCAAGTATTGGGAACTCTATCATAGTTGTATTTACATCAGTTACGACATTATCCCCACTAATGACGAGTTGTATCTAGTCACGCGTTTGTTAGAAAGCATAGAGAAACTTGTCGCACTAAAGGACGTAAAGTTTACGATCCTCATTCAAACCGTTTATTCATCGGGTTCTCACTAGCAGAACAAGTTCATTTGGAGGATGGAAAGCAGAGTCACCGACTAATATCGTTTACAAAAGCTTAGGCACAACCATCTGGTTATGAAACGAGATGACAATTTGGCATCGCGTGCGAACAAACAATTTGATAATTATGGTTACGCTTCCAGATCACTAGAATTCGCATCCAACGTTTCCTTTTGACTGTTCTTCTGAACATTCCTAGAAATCTTCACGCGTGTTGTCACCTTACAGTTCAAACAAAACCCCCATTCCTATCTAATCTGTGTTGTTGATCTTCGTAGACATTCCTGTGTAACCTACGAATGGCATCTACTCACTACACAGTCTCACGCTAGCACTGAATTCACATTCTCTTAGCCATACAATACCCTGTCCTTCAACCTGAAACCCGTTCTGGTGCCAACTTCAATTCACTTTTCACGTGCATTCGGTTGAACCCTTCCGTAGAATGTTTTTTTCGTGAATGCCCTTTCTTCTTTCCCGGCATTTCAGGTTGCACACCCAGCCCATCGCTATGACAAGTGAATGTGATGGTCGGTTATCGTCTTCTGGTGAGAAATCTTCATGGTCCAATTCGCATTCCAAACTCTATTTGTTTGAACTAGAAGTCGCTTTTCAACGGGCGCTTTGTATCTTGTAGGGCACTTTAGTAAACTGAAGGTATTACGAGCATAATATGTGAGACAACTTAGGAATCAGTTATTAGTTGGTGATTCATCGAGGAGTTTACACGCAAATACCTAATTTACTGTCCAGTTGTGGATGGACCGGCAGCAAATTTTATCCAATGGCGTCTCCACAGTTCTGCTTTTCGACTAGTTCCACAGTAGTCTGCAGCTGGTGGTCCTCACATATGCTACTCAAAATTCAATAGTAGTTGTGTGTCATTCGGACGTTTCAATTGGGCCTATTCTTGTCAAGGGACCGATTATAAGTGACTGCTTGTTCGCATCCAGTTTGACTTTTCTCAACAGGCAGGGTTTTGCAGCATCTATGTCATTTCAACGAAGACTGATGTTGAGTGCTAAATAATGATGCCTAGAGTTTCACTGAATAATGGGTTCTCGTGGCTTCATTGATTATTTTAACATGGGGTATCCTCTTTTACAACTCCCTCTAAAATATCGGTCAACCGTATTTAACAGATCCGGTTTCGCTTCTGCTCGCACACTGCCTGGAAAAATGCACGAGTCCACTAGTTTTGAAAACGCTATACCTTCAAACTAGATGACAAACCGTTAAGCCAAAGCACGCCGTCTACCCAAGGTTCATGATTGCACCGGTTAATATGTCTAAACTTGAGCCAAAATGGGTTTGCTGTTACATATTTGCCAGTTCGGCTCATGTGCAGTAAACACCGAGTTCTAGCCCCGGCAGCCAACGTATTGGTTTACGCAGTATTTAGCCGTCTGCCATCTGTGAATCGGGATATTAAGCCTGTAGACCTACTCGGTTTTTGCCATTTAGCTGCTTACTAATCATCTGCCCTTGGATCTCCTTGATCACCCATTGTATTCGTGATACATTTTCTCATATGTATCTCTTATGGATGCAATATCAAGAGGGACCTATCTACCGCCCTACCAAAAAGGACAGTACCGATTCTTGCTGTTTAGTGTGACTGGTCTTGTTCATAAACAAAGAATCCGTCTTTTATGCGACATTCTTCTATAGAAACGTAAAGACATACTGTAGCAGTAGATTATCCCAACATGACGAGTAAGGTTCAACTTGTAAAAACTACAAAGACAAATGAACATCAAGCCTTGTTTTCTTGATATGATTTCGCTCGCTAAAACTTGCTGAAATTGGCCCAGAATTCGATACCAAATGATAATTGCTCTCGTAGTTTGCAATTGCCTTATATGGTAAATCATGTATTTGTTTCTATTCAGCTAACTTGCGGCCATCTTCTGCCCCAGTTGATTCAGCTGCGCCAAAGCCAAGCATAGAAATTAACACAAAGACGCCAAAACATTACAGCGCTCAGTTGCAGGAGTTGCGGGAGACCAGTGATTTGGAAGTAGCCAAAGCACATCTCAGCGTTTCATAGCGTCGTCGACAAGAGTTGGAACGTCGCGTGCTTGAGGTAACCGACGACCTTGCACGTGCTCGAGCCGAGGCCAGAGCTGCTGAAACCAGTCTATCAGCCGCCAGAAGGACGGAGGCAGCCCTTAGACGGCGGTTACTCGTCGCTATGGATATACAAGGATCAGATGCCGATGGGTCTTCTAACCGTCATTCGCTGGGACCGAACGCTGGTCTTGACACCAGAGAAAACCTGGAACTACAAACAGCTGTAAGCTAAACTAAGTTCGTATATGTCGATATAACACACTTAAAGTTTCTCTGGAATAACGAGGACCAAGTAAGAGACTAATATACTTCTTATGCGTTTTACAGTTCATCCAACGTTCTCGTTTACCAAGGTGGAATAAATTTTCACTTCATCAATGCTGAAAATTACATACATACATATGTATGGCTTGGGAAGTTGAGTGTCCAAACTTTTCCCTGCGCGTCTACAATAATTCGCTCTTTTATTGACATTTTCAGCGACATACGCTTGTCACTCCTGTTGAAACAGAAATATCTGCCTATACCAGGTTTCTAAGCTTTGTTATCGTGCACGTTTCCCAGTCGTCTCTTTCCATCGATTTGCTGCCAAATGCTGTCGCACACCAACAGTAAAAACGGATATGCCCAACCGAAACCATCCCGTCAAATGCGTTTTCTGACAAAATTTCAGTTAATCAAATCTGAAGCCACAAATGCCTCGCTGACTGAAGCGGCCCAATTGGACAGAACTCGTCTACACGATCAAACAATGCGAATCGGGCAGTTAGAAGCGGAGCACCGGGCACTGATGGACCGTTTGTCTATTTTACAAGCAAACGAAGCCAGTGCTCAAAGAGGCATCGTACGATTACAGGTGAGCACCAGAATAAAACTTTTCCAAAGCTAATCTTTCGTATATATTCCTAGGAATACTAACCATCTGGTTAAAAGTCAGGGACTCTTAGTTATATATGTCCACGAAGCCGTGACATCCGAAGTTTCACCGCTTAACTTGGTGCTAATTTAATGCAACCAAGGTTGAGTTGCTGTTCATTTGTATTGTTACTATATGTAAACATGTTTAAAGGTTACCTTGTCTGATATTCCTCCGGGTGAACTTTGTCATCTCAATCTTGTTCACATATGTGTTTGAATAAAGCGAACAAGCTTAGCAGTATTCTGCGTGCTACATGAAACGGTATGAGACCGTGCTCATGGTAATGCGTATGTACTGTCAGGCTTAGCGCCAGATACTGGATGAAGTTAATATAGATCTGTAATTTAGGGTGCCAGATGACAAACAATGTTATGGGTCTGGAACTCTCAACTGTTCCAATATCTTTCGTCAGTCTGCTTTCAGACAATCGGATAGGAGTGCGCATTTTCATTTGGGAGTATCGGCTTCAAGGTTAAATATCAGTCGGCGCTTTCATATCTAATATGCTAGGTAAAACAAAAAACCGAACACGACGACACTTTCGGTAAAAAGCCCTGTCCTATCCCATGAGGTTTATAGCAGGACTTGTGGATAGACATGTGTACTCTTATCCCCACGAGAAAAGGTCCAAAGTAGGAAGGAGAGTTTTAATTTCTCCCGGGGATTGGGTTCCGGGTACTGTTCATGATTGTTGAAAGTTTTGCGATCCTGAGGGAATCATTATTTTAAGCAAGATTTTCAGCATTTCTTGAATTATTTTGTCTCCTGGTGCATAGTGCTTGCTACTAAATGATAACTGTTGTGGCTGGTGATGAAGTGCTAGGTTTTATTATTTGTGTATTGCTTTTGACATGGCTTGTACCCATTAGCGTACAAGGCACTGTCAAATACAACCCGTGGTATATATATACGTAGAAATTCACAAACAAGCACTGATCACTGTCCAAACCAAATACCAGAATCTAGAATGTAGACCTCACACCTTGCAAATTGAGTTAACAATAGGATCCTACATCAGAATTTAAAGTAGTTTTGGCAGTTTCACCATGTCTAGAGCATTCAAGTCATTAGATTGGATTTCGTCCTAATCTTATGCAATTCGAAAATGCCACCTGCTCCTCTGTTTGATGTTGGCAGCTGTATATCGCAGCAATGCGGAAAAAAACGTGAATTCCATAGAAAGACGGGGTGGCCCCCCTCAAGAAAAAACTTGGAAATTTGGTGGGAGCTGTCTGCCATGGGATTTCTTAGGAACTCCTTCAGGGCCCGATTGCCATATGCTGCAAAAGAAAAGCACGTGATGTGAACTTCTTCCGACATTAATATGAGTACCGCATTTTCTCAAGCTAAGAAACCTAGTTAGTTGGAACTAAATGGACTAGTATTGGTTAACCGCTAATCCTAGCTCGTATCACTTTCTATGATGTAGACGCTCCCTTTTTGACATGCAATCCATCTTTTGATGTACAGCTTCTTGTATTTAAACCTGACTAAACGTGGACTGAATTGCTGTAGGAATCCACTGAATATACGCATAGTACAAGCGATTACTTAGTATCATCCTCGTACATAATTCGCTTGTTGAGCCCCGCCAATAACCAACCACTTTGCTGTCATCCGTAAAAACCTCACGAAATGCTCGTAATTCGGGTTTCATAATCTGATTTTGTCAAACTTGATTCCATCTACCCCCTAACCACAACATGCGACGTGGTTTGTTCCAACTGGGACTGGTCGGCGGCCGACATAACAGCCAACCTTGCAATCTGTAAGCTGAAGTACCATGCACGCTGTCTCTCTACCTCTACTTCATGAACCTGTTCACATCGAGACTGGCGATGGACACAAGATTTCGACTAGCTGTTGTGTATAGTTAGTTGCACATTTATTTCGTCACCATTTGCACTTAACTTTTCTTTACAGTCTTGGTTTATCTTCACACAGGAGACTCGTGGTTTTTATCTCCATTGATTAGGATTCTATTGTTGGTGTTGTTATTCCCCACCCGTATCTCACATCGTTTGCACATCCATGGCCAAAGTAGCCCAACAAAGCCACACCAGACTCGGTGATTACATCTGCCTCCCGAACCCTATTCGACAGTTTCCTCATGTTGTACTCCGTCTTTCACACGCACTATTGTGCCTGCTTAGTAACCTTTATGAATGGACTGCATAAAGTCTTGGTAATCGTACCGTGTACGGACATCATGTGACCCTGCCCGCTCAGTCCAGGGAAGGATATCACGTATTCATTGATTGGACAGGCCACGATCACATGATAGCTTGTAACGACCATTATTTTCCTTTGTCCGACAGTTGGAACGCTCCTCTAAGCTGAATCCAGGTTTTCACAGATTTTGTGTATAGTAAGAGATTATTTGTCAATGTCCATTGCACTGAGCTGTGGTTAACCTCATTAGGACCGGGATCGGTTTTCCTGACAAATAAGTAAATTCATTATAATGTAAAGCAATACACCAGTGGTAAACGCTCCTGTATAACCCGAATATATCTGTCAAGAAGAAATGCCTTAGACAATTGAGAGTAAAACGGGAGTTGTTTACATGTAGTGTGGAGAAACTTCGGACATAAAAACAGAAAGCGCCAACTTTCAGATGACCCTGAAATGTCCACAACTGAGAATGAAGTTTGTTTGCGCAAGTTTTTCGCTCAAAAGTCACCGACACTGACTTTTCATTGGACGCTACATGTGGGACGGATGATAATCGCTGGATAGGTTTTCTGCGCATATGGCTCACTAATGTCGAGAACGTCTATCCCCTAACGACAGGTAAATAACACCTCATGATTTTGTCCATGTACTGACACCTCTTGATCTTACCATGAAGTCAGCCACATTTCTAGGCCAGTCTCATTAAATTTCCACGTGTCACTCTCATTTGCTGATCCACTGTTTTCAGGCCCTTTACGAGGATATGCTGCGGGAATATTCTGAAGCTCGCTTCCAAGACTTGAGCTGGCGCACTCGTGATCGATCTCGGTCAAACTTTCGAAATGGTACATCCAATGGAGTAGAAAAGAAGACCAATGGGACAGGATCTCATTCAACTTTCACCAAACTTCAACAGCAAATTGCTACTCTGGAAGAAGAGAACCTATCTTTAAAGCTCGCTATAAGAGAAGCTGAAGAAGCCCGGGGAACAGTCACATCGGTAAGTGTTTATATGTTTATACTTCGTTCATGCCACTCATTTATATTTTTTGAGTTCCAACTTATTTCCTCGCTTTCCGATTCAGCAACCCGTTGGAAGGTGTTCAGCACCCGCTTGCATCGAAGTTCGTGGTCTACTAAAAGCTTTCCAGGATCGTTTTACTGATGTTATGGGACAGCTGACTCGTACACAACAGTGTTTGGAAGCAGCACAAGCTAATTCAGGACAGGATCTAGACACCTCAATGGCATCTACACCAAACACTGGTCTGACGTTAGTCACTACGGTGCAGAAGCGCTTCAATGCACTTCAAGACCTACTAGACAATGACGCAGCCACACTGTCCGAAAATGAAATGGATAATGTAAGGGTCAAGATGTCCGACTGCCTCGACGCGCTCGCACATTTACACCGGTGGCTTCAACTCTACATTCGTAGCACGGACGCAGAGATAGCAGATTTGCGATCAACGATACTGGAGATGCGAATCGCATCTATGAGTAGCGACCAAACACTGATCACCACATGTGCAAACGGAACGGGAGAGCATCCCGTGAGTAATCTCCGTGTCCTCAACCTATCGCCCATTTGTCATTTATCATTTGCCCATCTCGATTCGGCCTTGTTGATGAAAAAGCGTTTTAATCATGGATCATGAGATCACTTTTAGAAACCTATGGAGGTACAAGAAACCAGCTTTCAAGTAACACTGGTTGAAGCAGAATACACTAACTGGGATTCAGTTATATACACCTGGTCACAAGATAACTGCTTTGCGAGTTCCTTAGAGTTATCAAGGATCATCCATGTTTGAGGTCCCTGAACACATCGAATTTGTAAGAAAATGGCGAATATTGGACAAGTTCCATTTAAACCAATCATCAGTATATACATCTACTATCAGGCGGTCGTATAAAGTCGAGGTCTGTCATTGAGCATTCATAGTACTGTACAGAGGTAGCTGACGGTCAAATTTTCTCGACAGGGGACGCTGCTCACAAAATCGCTGAAAACTTTTCAGCACCTCATCACCGGTTCCATCCTACTTGATGCTGGTCAGCTAAGAGCAGTTTCCAAGCTGCCATCGCTCTTGCGTTATCCCTGACCCCCAAACTAACTGACTTAATTTTCAGATAATATTGATGCTAATGAGAGACAGTTTAACCTTTCGTAAGCGCTATTCTTCTACTGAGTAGACTGTAAGAAAAATCGTTACATATTTCATTTTTAGTTTGATACTTCGGATATCACAGAAATCTCTCTCAGGGGAACATGCGGTTAATGAGGGTATTGAAAACACTTTCGACATCCCACCACTGATGCAACACATTCAATCGAGCAACAGAATGAATAAGAGTTCCAGTTGTTTCTCTTGTTAACACCGACGTCAGTCGTCAGTGTGTCCACTTCTTATTTGTGGGCTTTTTGGAAGCAAGACTTATTTTCTTCCACCCATAGTGTGTGACACTGCAGCGTTCTTATCTAGTCAAAGCCTTAAGCTTGTCAGTTAATACACATCTATTATCTCACTTAGGAGGTGTTTTCTCAAGAATATTACTTTTTCTGATTAGAACTATTTTTGTTCGCTGCTGGTAGATTATTTTTGATTGAAAAAATCGCCTTTGAGAGGAGTTGATTGCTGGTGTTTGCTTCAAGTGACACTGATAAATCCAATGGTGTCTTTTGTGGTCGATTGCTTCTCAGAATTAGAAGACAACTGCGCTTGACACTCTATATTAATTTTACCAATTTCTTCTCTATCCATATCAGTTTTCTTGCTCCATCAGTCTGAACAAGAAGTTAGACATGGACTTACTTCATCAACGTGAACAGGAACTGCAGCAACTACGTGCCCGAGTTCGTGATCTCGAGGCTGAGGTTGAACTTGCATCGCCGCACTATCGATAAGCAGTAAGTCTGTCAGTCAGTTCTGGTGTTTCACTTTAGATGTTACTGGCATTCTCAACTTGCTATTCACATGCCTTTTAGATGCCAATGAACTGGTAACCTCTGTTCCCAAGTTCAATTTCCAAAGCTGCCGTAGTATATGACAAGTTTGGATTTTCGACCCTCTCTTTCGCTGTAAATTCATAAGCATCAAGGTTATGCGACTCTAATTTAGCCATTTTTCTACATTTATAAATACACTTTTAAGCACGGCTACTAAACAGTTTACTTTACTGTTTTCTCACTCTGAGTGGCTTTTCGAACATCAAACTCCTGAGTTACTCTAAACGCTTGTGCAGCAGAGCTGTAGTGACAACAAATCAAACTCCAGATAATTTGTGTTCAATACACTTGAATCTATGTTAAATTTAACTGAAATCTCACAGCCGTCATAATACTCTATGGTTTGGGATGATTATTAAATATCTCATTGCACTGGTTTCAACGTTGCATGCCTTCCGTAAGCTCACGCTGTGCACTCGCACGAAAAATTTTGTATTCCGCATGATTCTAACCGTAGAAATCCGAGAAGGACCTTGAGATAATTTGCTGCTCATCTTTGCAGGGATTTAATAAACAACATGTAAGCGCACACTGGAACTATTGTTGTATCAAGCGGTTAGTAACCGTTGGTAGTTAAATGCTTTTCAATGTGCAGCTGGCTATAATTATGTCTTTTGGACTTTTCTTACGTGAATGAAACGATCTAAGTACGGAAGTCCAATCCTGGAAGACCCCTGTGAAAAATAACCACAAACCATTAGCCACAGTTTAGTGTAAAGTCTCCCCCGTAATGGTCCTACCCTTCAGAGGTGCTAACATATGTCTCTTCCTCTGGTGTCGTCTTTTTAAACCGACTCCATCTTAAAAATGTGACACAATGTAAGGAGGTGTTTATATTGCAAACCGGTTTAGGGAAGCTTTGCGTACCAAGTGTGGGCGACTACAGACGGATAACTTTCAACCCAGAAGATACATCATGACCTTTTTTGCGTGGTTAGTCTTGCTTCTATATGGTCCAGACCTGTGCCAGTAGAGCATCGGAGTTTAAATAGGTTTTTGGTGACCGATTTCATTTAAATTATAGGGTTGAATATGGTGCAGCAAAGAATTATCATCGATAGAGCGAGTTTGTACATCGTTCCTCGTAAACGGTTGGAAACTTGGTTCATAGGGTGTTTACCTGCGTAGCTTTCATATGTCGCCATCAATTTCGATGTGTCAGTCTCCTTATGTCCTCTCTCAGTCGTCTACAAATTTCCTGGAACAGCACCACCCAATTTATTCAATACGGGTTCCTTGCATACGCTTTTTGCAAGATACAAATTTCTGGAATTGAGGGGATTTTCACATGAATAATAAATGAATTTAAGTATATCACAGCTAAGGCGCTATCGTCCCCCTAGGTTTAGTATTCTGTTGTACTTTTTAGACGGAAAATAAAACGCACTACAAAGTTGTTTAGCACGTTTGCATGTTTTTACTGTCATATTCGAGTTTGAGGTCACTGACATTTCCGATGAGACTTTTGCCGTGATGTTAGTAACGTGCAATATTTACTGGAGAGACTGGTACATGTTCAGCTTAGGAAAATGAACAGACATGTTTTGCCACAGGCAATTGCCTGTCCACCCGTTTTTGGTTCGCGAAGCAGAAAAGCACGAACAGAGTTACAACGCTCTATTTTTATCCAGCCGTATGATTGGCCACAAATCGGATCTACGATCATTATGATTGCGCTGACCTATTCAGCTACGCAGTCAGAATCATTTCCCGGCTGGTTTCGGTTGGTTTCTATTAATTTCTGTCACTGATGCTTGTGGAATCTGCCTCGCCACTGTCTAGAGACGTGGTGTGATAATGTTGTCGGTTTGAGGCTACCGACCAATCTCTTTAATACAAAATTAAGCCACTTGTATGTATTATAGTCCATATTTTCCGGTTGTTAATGTTGAGCTTTGCCCCTCTCATTGGGTGGATCTTGAGCGAATGCAAACCACTCGTGCAACGCAAATAGTTTGAGAACGGATGAGAAATCTTTACTCAAGATTTCAGCCTGTAAGTGAAGTTAGTCTAGGTGGGAACGACTCTAAAGCTGTTTCATGCGTATTCAAAACCATCAGCAATGCGCATCTCGTGAACCTCCATGGATATTCGAACCCGCAATCGCCAGGCTGGTAGCCACGATCTGACGGTCATCAGCGTGGATGAAAGTTCCTACAAATTCGCCAAATTCTTTGTTGACCTACCGTTTTACCTGCATAATCTCAATGCACTGCTTATAAGATTGCTGAAAATTCTTTGACATAAACGAGGGATTCAGCTGCGTTCCAGGTGAGACCCCATCAAAACCAAACTGTTTGTGCTTGTCCGAGGAAGATATCCCGAACACACCCGTCTATCAGCATCCGCATTCTCAATCATCCCTTCGCTTTGAACACAACTGCTCCGGTTTCACTCGGTAAACATGTGCTCACCGCTTGATGGGCATCATGCAAAGATGATTCGTCCTGGTCGATAAATCGTACTTAAATAACTCAACTTTGACCGCTTAAGCGCATGGCTACTATGTGACACGAAAACAACACTAAGGCCTAGGTGCATCTTGGTTCCCCGAAAACAATGGTGTTCCTGTGAACCACAGTGCACACAGTTTGTTGCCTGCACATAAAACCATCTCAGGCGCGGCATATTGTTGACCAAAGGTTGTGCACCATCCGTGGATAGAGTTTCACTGCAGAGGTTTATATGCGGACTGCGGGTTCCAGTTTACTGAGAAATGACGGGTTAATTTATTACTGCCAAACCTCGTAAAAACAACACACTTTTCTTGGTTGTATACTTTCAGGGTTTGACAAATACCGAAGCACAACGGTTCCAGTATACAGCTTTTCTACTCAGCCAAATCCGGAAAAACTTTACTAACCAGTTGAGCACCAATCGAGTCCCTTCCAGTTGATCACCTAGATCAACGTTTGGTCAGTCAAGCAAGCCTCCATTCTTTTCGCATTAACCAGGGACATGTCATCTTGGTTCGTTTTTTCCGCACCGTTCCTCTCGCATTGCTTGTCTACTTTTGAGTAATCCTGTCTCTCTGTGCATCTTTGTCTAATATACCAGCACTGATTTCTAATTCGTATCCTTCTGTCATTTCTGTTTTACACTTATTTTATTTTCATGCCCATGTTCCTTAATATCTTGTCCCATGTTGTAGATTTTTTCAGTCCAATCACTCCCCCCACCAAATGGCATTTATTCGTCCCTTTTGTACCAATGATGATAGCCTACACGTCGTCTTTATTCACTTTCTGCTCTTCCCTCGTCCATCCAATCCCTATAAACGACGTTCATTTGTATCTGCATCTTCTGTCCTACTTTCCATCGGACGCAGTTTCTATGGACTCAAGCAGTAAACCGCCACGGAAGTGTCTCTTGTGGGACACTAGTCCCTCTAGCCCCTCCCGTATGTACCGTTGATCTTATGCTAGCCGATCTTAAGTGTTCATTGATAAACTCACGCGACTTTGTATGCTCATTTAAAAACATTAATCATGCCATTATCACTTCCCTTGCATATTCTCTTTCTCTTTTCGCTCCTGGGTTAAAGAATGATTGGGGCATGGTGTATGGATGTCATTTTTCAGATACTGAACCCAGCAAAATTAGAAAGAACAAGGTTTAAGAATTCGTCCCTTTATTGGCTTCAGATTGTAGTACTGTATACGAAAAAACAACAAGTTCTTGTCGTTCTCGATTAAAAATAACACATGCATTTGGAAACGGCCAATGTTCGGTACTAACGTTCCTGTCAGCTGTGGTTGGACGTCTACATGCCTGCGGATGTGTTTGTTAACAAGGACAGTCTGCGCGGAGCCGATGTACTAAACTGCATGATTCTTTGTAAATCCGGCTCGATAAGGCCAGCATAGAGCCCTGTTTGGAGTCATAAACCGGCTAAACCACGACGATGTTAAAATAATGTAGCATCGCACTAAGCAACGAGATCCTGAAACTATACATCAACTATTCTTAGCTTCAGAATCACACCGCATCCTCGTTGCACATCATCAGATACCACCAGGGCTGTCAATAAGGAGCCATTTAGGTTGTTTTGGGTGAACGACCGTTGTGAATGTAATGTGAGCGTCCTATAATTTTTGGGAAGCGCGAGATGCTTCTGTGCTCAACCCTATCAAGTTCTAGTGTTCCGCTGTTCCTATTCCGCTCACACAGTCGGCCAGCTCCAATGGCCTATTGATGGCAACACTTTCTTCGCGACTCGTTACCGAATTAATTGTTTGATCTCCGACTACGAATTCTCAAATCCTCCCATGCTTGTGTACACCGCTTATCCGGATGCCTCTCTTCAGGCGAAGGTGCTCCCATTATCTGAAATCATTTTTTCCCAGTTTCATCGTACTTTTGATCCATTCCTGTCCCACGGACCACTTTTTAGCTGTCGATATAGCAGTAATTTTGGATTGCAGCGTAGCTTGATTATTCCTTCTCAGAAACTTAGATTTCGAGTTCAGTTAGTCTAAATAACTCTCATGACCACAGAAGCTGAGGACAAAGTCGGTCCATGAGTCCGATGTGATGACGGTAACCAGTTCCGGTTTCATTACCATACGGCAGGATGGCATAAGACCTGGTAGTCTATTTTGTGTTTGTTCTACACAAAATCTCAAAGCCTTTTAAACGGTAAGCTGATTCTCGGTACCCGTCGACGCAATTTTCAAGGTAATGAACATGTTACCGCGACAACAGAAATTTTGACAGCACGTGATCACACCCCAATTCTTACCTTGAATATCACTTAGTGCCCTAGGAGTACATATTAGTGGTAATCAATTATTTTAGAAATACAGTAGACCACTTCTACAGAGAGACAATTCGGGAAGCAAGCAACATTCCGCACTTCTGACTCTGCTAAAGGAGACAACCGTGTAGTGCCAATAATGAATCGTTTCGATTCTCAAGACAGCAACTCTAGAAGAATATGAACACTTCTCAAATCTGCTTAAAACATCCAATTCCGGATATGGGTACATTCTGCTGAAGCAAATGTCCAGTACTGTTCCTAGTGCTCAACATTCCCACAATCCCATCAGGAGTATATTTTGACATCCACGGAATTTTTTTTATCCTGGAGTTGTGAGTAGGGTGTTCATATTTAAGACGGCGCAAACTAGTCGTCGTTAGGCGTCTCACGTCCAAGTTGGAACGTACAAATGATGCGCGATCGCTAGAAAATATAGCCGATGGGATTTCGTCATGTGATATTGGTCTGTATGGAAAGCGATTTGAATCGAATATATGATCATCCAAACATTACTAAATAGTTGCATCATATAATGAATTCTGAGGCGCCTCCATCAACATCACAGCTTGACACTAACAGTGAGCCGCAATTTCTATCCGTAGCCTATATCCAAAACTCAGAGAAATGACAGATTTGTTTGGGTACCCAGAATTTCAAAGACGAGTACACTTTCTTCGGTTACCGAAACTAAGCAAAGTTGTCTAGCAGTGCGGCGCTCAGTGGTTGATTTGATCCACACTTTTCTTATATTTATCTTGTTGGCTAAATTAAGCGCGTGGCACTCCACCAGCTGTGGGAGCTACACTGTTCTCCTGGGACCGTCTCGTCTAAAATGTCTGCGTTAAAAAACCTCGTCAGAATACGACACTGTGACGTACATCGACTAATCGGTAACCGTTTTCCTCCTGCCGGCCTCCATTCTGAATAATGGCATCGTGTCGCTCGCTTTTAGTCCTCCGACGCATCCTCAACTTCCCATATTAATTGTACTTACTGAAATGTTTCCTTGTAGCCAAGTTCCTCTAAGCTTAGATGGGCTGGTAAACAATCTGTCATTTTCGAGAGTTTTCCTGTTTGCATTTACGAAAACGTTCCTTCGGCGCGTAATAAAGATCCGTTTGTTTCTCTGTGAGCCACCACACTTGATCGACCTGATACTATTCAACTTCTAACAGGCGGTTGAGCAAACAAACGTTGATCATTCCTGTTGGGTGTAGTGAGTCCAGGCGTTCTGAAGTGATTTGAGTCATTTAGTTTTCAGTTCCTCGACTACCTGCCATTCAACAACTCTGTGAATTTTGCGATCTGCATACGGCTACTTTTTTTTCGCTTGGTTACCTCAGCCATCCATTCCTCAGTAGACCGAGACGTTTCGTGAGATCAGTTCATTCGACCCATCTTTATTCTTAATGCAATCTGTTGGGTCTTCAGTATTCCACTAAAATCCATACTCTTTAGGTGACTGAAGAATGGATTCACATCATCATTTTTGTTGAACTATCATTTTCTACTGATAGCTTCACCTCGTTTTCCCGATCCACCTTCATGGCTGTTTGTTTCCATTACGGTTCAGTGCTGATCCACTGACATCGAAGAGAGAGTTGTCTCTGATGGCCTCGTGAAATTTCATCAAGCTTCCCGGGTCTCAGTTCCCCGACATCAGCTTCATAGAATGTTCTGGTCCCACGATGGTGTATTCCTCTTAAGGTGATGTGCGATTTAACTGGTGCCATGAATTCTTATTTCATTCATCAGCATGAATAATCTTATGAACATCCCTTTGGTGGACAATTGCATAGCCCATGATAACTCCACACTCACCCCGTGTGAATCCATCTGGCAGTCGAGGTTTCTTCAGAAGTACATGGCACATTAGCAGTAGTTAATTACAGGGCTGTAAGTAATATCACAATCACTCGCTGATCCAAACCTCATGTCTGCCAATTTTGTGGTTCCTTACCAGCGAGAGAACCGAAATCTCGCAGTAGAAGAGGACGGTCGCTGATGAATATTAGTTGTGCGATGTTCGACAGCTGAGTGTAAAACTGTTCTTTTTCTTGACCCAACGCTACTTACACACTTGGGGCAAGAGTAACACTTCACTATCTGGAGTATTGTTCGAAATAAAACATAACACACCCCTTGCAAAACATTTATAGACGAGTGATTCAGCTGATATTCATCTGCATTTCCTACTGGTACCAGGTTATTCTGCAAACAGATTTACAAATTCACTCGTTTTTTCTACTAAGAATGAGACTTTGCGGTTGCATAGACGCTCATACACTTAGCCGGACGACCTTTTTTGAATTGAATCTGAGTTACTTTCATCCCTGGTTTGACGCTGTTCCCTTTACCGAGGATCTCTAAAAGCTTGCTACTGGAGGCCGCACATTTTCATCTATGTGCATTATTACTACCGCTTGGAATGTTCTTTGAACTCCAGCTCCAAAAAGTAGTCTTTGTTTCGAGGCCCTTGTACCGCTCGAGAGTGCAGTATTGATTTTGCATTATTTGAGTCCCTCAGCGACAGTTGTTGTACATTGCCCATGTCTGTCATTGCCTTCCTTATCCTGTAGAGTTCTAACGTTCCAGCTCCGAAGTCCAAATAATCGGCTAATACTCCTGTTTACACAGTTGATTTCGGGTTCAGTAACGATTTTCTGGGTTTTCAGAGTGAAAATAAGGATTGGTTTCAAATATTTCGCCTTAAGCCTCTTGTAAGATGGCGGGTATTAGATTTATCCTGTGGGTTTCTGCTTGAAGCCAACGATCAATGATCCAAAATACTTTGGTTCGGGGCTGGGCTATCCCAAAGGTGGAGAAAATAGGACATGTGTGTCTCTCAACTGATGTTACTGCACGTAGCATGTGCTTTGTGGGCCGCAATGGGCTCTTCGCTTCTACAACTGTTTCAACCGTATTGAGTACTACGCAGGAGGTCAACCATCTGGAAGTCAGAGTATGTGAACGTTTGGGTCGACCCTTCCTTATACACTCCTGCCTCAATAAATATGAAGATACTTGGGCAAAAACTTGCTCTTGTTACACCCCTTATGGTTGAAGAGTGTGAGTATCGACAACGTAGGGCCTGTTGCTCTCCATTCGTCGGCTAACTGCTGGCCTTCCTAAGAATGACTTCACCCGTCAAGCCCTCAGTGTCGTCACAATACGCAAGCCTGACCACCGCGAAAATTTAGCAACTTTAGGCCGAATGAGCCAGTAAGGTGCCTGGCATCGGCTCGGTCTTCCAGTGAACAGTGCCTGAACCACTGAAAACCTGAGAGTTTTAGGGCAGCCCCGTGTTATTCACGTAGAGCATAATACAGGTCCCTGGAGCTGACGTTCCTGCTCAAAAGCTAATGACGTATCAATTGTATAAATCCCACTATCATACTTGTTTTCCCCATTATTGTAGCATTTCTCTCGTCTATTTGTTTCTAGATAAAATTCATGCACCAGGCTTTTGACTGACTCCTCACGATGGCCTCAGTACCCAGTGAATATGGCTATGAGTATGTTACAATGGGCTAACCATCCCTGTTCGCATGCTTACACACATCTATGCGGGATCGCTGGGGTCGCATATTGTTGGTTTTCTTTCAAACTAAAACGCCCGGTAATTTTTGTTTCCTCTCAATTGCAGCAAAATGGCATTTACGTTCGAAGTCCATTACCTTAAAGAGCATATCACAATTGAAGAGGTGAAGTTTTTATCTAACAAAAACTGCAAATCATGGCACATAAA